CATAACCCCATATTAAGAGTTAGAATGTGTATTTCTGAGCTTTCTTTTCAACCCTGATTTGACCACTGAAATCCCCAAACTATATCCAGTATATCCACACATTGCCTCTGGCAGGGATTTTGTAATGTTGTATTTATAAGCGCTTGCTCTCATTAGATGTTCTTACCCTATTTGGAGGCAATCCCAGAGTGTAATGGTGGTTGAATGACATCAGCTGCTGACCCCATCACAATCCATACAGCTGGATTTAGAGGGATAAAGCAGCAATTTTATATTGATGCATCTAATTGAAATATATTATTTAGTCTGCTTTACCCTAGAAATCTGAAAGATACAAATATTAAGGTGGTCTCTTTCTCAGAACTAGGTCATACCTGTAACTCATGTAACAATTAGTGTAGGCATATATGTAACGTTGTGATTTGATTGTTTGTTAAATAATTTATTACATAAGAAATAGTAAATAAATCTAAATGTCATGCATTACATGTTCCTCAATCATATAACCGCAACAATTTAAATGTATATAGCATTTGTGACCACATCTGAAGACACAGTACAGATACGGTAAAAACGCTCTTAAATTGGGGGGAAATAAAGTTATTGCATTCCGGATGGAGCTGTTGCAGGCCCAGAGTCTTTGCGCCACTCGTAAAGTCATGGCAGGGCCTGGGTGAGTCTCCAGCATGTGGAATGGGGACCAGGAGAGTCAAGAGGCAGTGATGAGACCAGAAAGAAGAACAGGGCTCGGGGTTTGGCAGCAGCATCACTCTACACTCAGCTGCCTCCTTCAAGGGGGGGAGGTGGGCAGTGCATACATTTAAATGGAAGTCATATACGTGTCCAAAAGTGAACATTAGGAGACAAAATCTAAATAGGTAATTTATATATGAGATCATAACAGCTTGCGTCGTACGAAGCCAAATTATTTTACTTTACTCCAGCTATATTGGATTAGTATTCTGAATTGTGGGTGTACAGCCTTGAATATTGAAAAGGAAATACCCATTCTTCATTCCATCCCAGTGTTCTTTCTTCTGCTTTGTTCACACTGTCAAGACAAATGGATTGGTAAATGTTGAATGTCATTATCGTACTACCATGAATAACTGCTGGAACGTGTATAGTCACCTAAGCAACAGGGCTGTCACTTTCATGAATAAAATGAGCATTAATACCTTGAATCAGTAATTGGAAGCCCAATTAACATTTGTGTTGTTAATGTATTTCATAATATGTGTAATAAAAGACTCGGACGCTTCTCTCTGTCCTGTGTCCTTTATTTGGGTTCGATCTCTTTTCCCTCACGGCACTCCCCCTTACTCTTCGCTCTGCAGCCCCAGGCTGCTATCGCTCACGTAGCCCACTCACAGCACTCCCTTATATACTCTTCGCTCTTGCAGCCTCCAGGCTGCTGTCGCTCACGTAGCCCACTTCTCTCCTTGCAGACCCGCTGCTGTCTCGTCGTGCAGACCCCTCCTGCCCAACTCCACCCTTGCAGACCGCTGCTCTCTCTGCAGTCTCCTCGCTGCTCCTTCAGCCCCGGGGTCGGTCACCGTTGGCCGACGGTGCCGATCCTCGGGGTCTGTGTGTGTGGCGATCTCGCCACTCTCTCTCTTCCTCACTCCGCCCTGCGTGGCCTCACACTTTCCCAGTCTCCGATCACTCCCCTACTGCTTCCGGTTTCTCCCCTTATAGACCTGAACCATCTCCCCCACGTGACGTAACTCCTCCCCCCATGACGTCACTTCCGGAAGGTCGTTTACGCCCGCATTACATATGTATAGCATTATTAATGACTCCAGTAATGTGGTGAGAAGTGCTTTTCACATGCTTCCTTCTTTACTTCAAATATCTATCTATAATCTAAAACAATACAGAATGCATTGTATTGAGTACATCTTTAATTAAATATTAATTACTATTCATAACAATTGGTCGTCGTTATCAGCCGCAGTTGTGGGTATTCCTACTCCATAACTCAGCAGCAGGCATCTTGAACATATCCATTACAATACTTGAGCAGTCCGGTATTTGATCGCTTCGTTTATCGTTTATTGCTGTATTCACAAGCACATCCGCAACTCCGATTAGCACATTTGGGTACATACGGTGCGAAAGAAGTTCAAGGCATGTACATACATGCAAGCACATTACATTTCTGTAATAGTGGGTAATAATTGTAAATAGTTATATTTTATTCGTCATTAACTTTTATGCTAGTAACAGTTATTTTAGCTTGAAATAAATTAACATCGAATAATACGATATAATTACTATAAATAGACATCAACCGTGTTAAACCACAAATCGCTGACATTGTATACATCATGATTGTTTTAACTTCTGTATGAATTAACATTTGTTTGATTACCGTGAACTAGAATTTAGAACATTCTCCGAATGCTTATTTAAGACTTCAGTGAAAATCACTATGCTATCCTGCTAAAGGCTAGTGTATTCATGAGCAGTTACAATTTACAATGCATATGTTCATTATTGGTCCATATAAGTTAACATCTCAGTAGCGAGTTAACATCTCAGTGGCGAGATGTTAACTCCCTCGCCTGGTATGCAGGAAGCGTGGATTTGATCCTGGCCCTGACGCCTGTATATTTGGAGTTTGCGTGTTCTCCCTGTGGTTGCGTTGATTTTTCTCCGTGTTTTCCGGTCTTTCCCTCCACATTTATAAGCATGTGTTTAAAGTATGTTGCTGTTATAGCTTTCCACATGATCAGCCACTTCGTTCAGCTATAATTTGTGGCCAGGTTTTTTCTGAAAAAGAACTATAAGCAGTCAGTCTGCTTTACCTGGTAAAATAAAAAATAGTTTACTTTAGTATAATACAATTAGAATGAAACAGTTGGTAATGGTTAATGTATAATTTAAATCTGATTGGTTGATCCTGTGATGTTCTTACACATATTTAAGAATCTTGGTCAGGTGACATGGTTACTCTGACTTGTCCTGAAGATATTTGACATCGCCTCAAGCAAAATGTTATATCTAATTGCTACATTTGGATGTGAGAATTGTTAATCAATTTAACTGTGAGCTTAAACAATAATAATTGACGTGTAAAATACTCGTAGATGTAACATTTTTATTTATTCTGTGTCGGGCGGTGGAGGATTTTTTACGTGAGAAATTTGGCCAAACCATTGTGGCCTAACCCAAAAATGTATTATGAATCAAAATATTGGTTTAATGTTATCACCTAGAAAGCGGCGCTGCTGGTAGCAGTTACCTTGGCTTGACTGGTTGGGGAACTGCATCCTTTGTGGTAATCTCCACAATCACAAGGAGATGATGATTTTCTTATGAATGATTCCATTCTACAAACGTTTATTTTGGCTAGAACACTCAATGAGAACATAGTTCTGCTCTCACTGTATCCAAATATAGCTCTGATAAGGAAATATTGTGGGGCCTCCTAGATATTCCTATGGCGGATACCTCGACAGGTCCAGACAGGACCATAAAACGGATAATCTGTTTAGCTATACAGCCATACATATTTAGAGCGGACTGCTTCTAAGTCTCATATTGCATAATGTCTGAGAGAGTGTATAGAGTTTTGTTATGAGGTGAAGTACAGTGTAGAAAAATCCAAATGGTGATATCGGGAATGAGATTGTCTTCACTCAAAATGACAAAATCCAAATTGTCAGACATGTGATGCAAATTGCATTTCAACATAGCCAGAGAATGAAAAACTACGTAATTCAATTAAAAACCAAAATAGTTTTCAAAGATCTGGGTCAACGAATGTGTTATTTTATAAGAACTCTCAACAACTGATTACAATGCACATAGGGAAAAAAATATATATAAAATGGATGCTAACACTTTAAATAATTATTTAACTGGGGGGATATGTTATGAAGCAAACAGAGAGAAAATGTAAACCACAAAAGCCATTTGAGGAACAGCAACATAATATAGGCAACAGAACGGCCTAACTGAATAAACTAAAATATTAATACATTATTTGGTAATGCTCTGTTGGCTCCCTTATTTACAGCTTTGTATCGTTTACAACCGGCCACATTGCTTCCACATCAAATATTATTTTTGGGGCGACCGCTCAATTAATTTAGTGCATCTATTCCCCTAAACCTATGAAGCAACGGGAGGAACTAATCCCATCCCCCCGCACAATACCTGCCCATCTCTTAGCAACTCGGCCTGCCCCTTACACCGCCACTTATGCAATACGATCAGATGTGGTCAGTTAAAGTTCAGTAAAACGAGGGTATTGCTATAAAGTACAGATCACAAGTTGATAACAGTCATTCAGCACAGTGGAATCACAAAACCATACAGAGTAGCCCAGCGAGTTAAATACCATCACAGTACAGCGTATCATGGCCCTTCGAGGGCCATGATACATGAATGAACATGGGGGGGAGGTGGTGGGATATTGGTTAAGAACACTGCTAATAACCTCGTGATCTGAGTTCAACATCAGGCGTAGTAGTCATGGGTGGCTAGTCATGTGATGTATGTACTCTTAGTTCTTTCGGTAAAGTCACGTAGGTAAAAAAATAAAATTAAAATTAATTAAAAAAAAATTAAATCACGACGTTTCGGAGCAAATCTGGCTGTGACGGTCCCACCTGATGACGGAGACTTGTGTTGCCTCCGAAACGTCGTGATTTTATTATTTTATTTTTATTAATTTTTATTTCATTTTTTTACCTACGTGATTTTACCGAAAGAACTAAGAGTATGAATCCTTGCAGTCACGAAAGCTTCAAATCTAGAATCTGTGGTGTATGGTCAAACAACACCGATGGCCGATGTGACACAGGAATGAATTCCCCCAGCAGTGGCTTGACAATAGGATGTAAGTTATTGTCACGTCGTTTCATGAATGAACGTAAAAATCTGTACACACGCAATTGTGTATGGGTGCCATTTGTTTGTACAGTATGTCCTTTGTATCGTTGGAATGTGTTTGTAATAAGTATGCTTATCGTTTTTCCTTCTTGGTGCAGGTGCAGTGAGCGCCAAGGGTCTACAATCCCCGCGTTTTACGCTCGAGCCAGCTGGAACAGTGGTCGTGGCCGGATCACCTGTGGTGCTCAGCTGTACAGTGGACTCTGACAGACCAACCAAATTTGGCTGGAGGAAAGACGGTGTGCTGCTGGATACAGTAGCTGATGAGCGGAGGCATTTGCTCGCCAATGGTTCACTACTCATACGTACAGGTGGGCACGAGGAGCTGGCGAGGATTGACTCGGGACGCTACCAATGTGAAGTTACAGTCCATGGGCTTGGAAGCATCATAAGCCGCCCAGCAGCGGTTACATTGATAGGTAAGTTTTGACTATTAACAGAGTGTCTGTATGGTGAATGCATGTTTTCTTCAATAGTATTGTGGCATTATTAGCATGTGTGCCATATCGATAATATTATGATATGTAGTACGAAAAGAAATGGACAATACCCGTATTGTATTTTTTTTGTAAACATTGATATTGTGATGATCTTTTCTCACAGTTTTAGGCCATATACACAACGGAGATACTGTATGTGCTGAAAGAATTACTTTTCAACAACAGGGGCATTACTTACTCTCTGTAGATTTGTATCGCTAATAACTAGAAAGACCTTGTGTTAAAAGGTGTCTGCAAGAACCATGCATTGTTGCACATCCAGAGTTACCTGGTTGTCAATATTTTTAATACCTTACCAATTAAGGTTTTTTTGGCCCAAACTCTATAATCCCCTCTGTTAAGGTGCATTGATTGAAATATATAAGGGTTTATGTTGAAGGCCATCATGATTGTTTAACTTATAAGTCATAGACTAAAGAAGATTGCAAATTATTTCAAATTTGAGTGAAACTTCTTTCATATAAAATATGGTTAATAAAATGTTCTCAAGAACAAAATATGATTGTCCTTCTGGGATGTTTTATGCCTCAATATTTTCACAAATCATCAGTATTAACAGATGAGGGTAAGAATGGATGAGGGTCGGTAGCATGCCAATGACCTCTTATAAAACTGGGCTTAACGTAAATAGTTAAAGTCCTGTCTTTCATTTAATGGCTGTAAAAACACTCCTTATTTATGTTGAACTGCTTTTGCACCGTACGTAGCCAACCATGCTAATTGTAGGTATGGGGGAAGCACAACAAACTAAACACAAAAAGCAGTTCTGAAGAAATGAGTTTTCAATCTAGGTGTTGTTGCTGCTGCTGTTGTTGCAGTTGTTGTTACTGTTATTGGTGCTTTCGCAGCTGTTGAAGTGACTCCTATTGAAGTTAACCTATTGAAGTGACTGCTATTGAAGAGAATCCCTTAGCAACAGAGCCTTAGTTTAAGTGTGTAGTATATGCGTGTACTGTATTGTAGACTGTATAGCATGATGTATTGTAGACTAGTGTAGTGTATGTGTGTATTGTAGACCTATGTGTGCTGTATTGTAGACTAGTGTGTAATGTATGTATGTGTAATGAGTGACTAACACGACACGTCGTGGAGAGGGTACTTCTTTTATTTCTCACACTGAGCACAACACAGGCCAACCTTATTCTTCTCACTCTGAGTACAACACTTAGATATTAACGTCTCTACTGGCTACACACAGCCGATCACTCAGCGTGGTCCCACCGCCCTCACTCGGCTATGCCGCTGGCTGGCGGCGTGACGATGATGGCGATGGAAACCCCGCAGATCTTCCACGTGGCCGGACGATCGAGAGAGATGACGGCGAGCAGCGACACAGCCTGGACCCAAGAATCCCACGCGAACCTTGAGCCCCGGGTCCGCTCGCACTTATATATCCCCAGGCGTGGCTAGGCCCTGCCTCCGGCCACGCCCTCTCGTGGAACCTTCAAGCAGGTTCCCGGAGCATATCGGCCAACCCCACCTATTACCTTTGCCCCAGACACCTCACCCTCTCCGATTGGATGTTCCCTTAACCGTGCCCGTACCCGTGCTTCCCTTTCCCAGCCAGCAGGTGTCATCATGTCATTACATCTGTATTGTAGACTGTATTCCTTGCTGTATTGTAGACTAGTGTATAGTGTATGTGTAGTGAGTTCACCTGAGTCGCAGACGTATACTGGGAGGCAACACATCTATTTAACTCCAACACATGGGGTAACTTCCCCTTAATAGAATAACAACCTATGGTGGTGACCACCAGGCTAACTACACTAATTACAACGTAATAAGCTACTACGGACCGGGACCACAGCTCGGGTCCAGGTCCACGTGTTGGAGACTCGTTGAATGGAGAACGTAGACATAGACGAAGGTTTCTTCAGGATGAACAACAACGCCGGTCCCTCTGGGGACCCGGCTTATATTCTCTGCAGCGTGGCTGGCTCCGCCCTTGGCCACGACCACCTTCCAAAATCCTCGGGAAGGATCTCGATGCTAACCACGTGACCACCCCTAGCCCCCACTTGGGCCCCTTTGTACACTTAACTGGTCATGTGTCCTCTCGGGTCAACCAGAGTGCCATGGCCTCGAGTAACCTCATTCCTACGGCCGGTACTCTCACACCCTGTCCTGTAGGGCTCGCACTGCACACCAAGCGTGGTGCCATCTAGCACTATCAATCAGCGCTCACCGGGACCCTCTAGGGCCGGTACTACACCCACATCATTGTGGTGTCCGCGATGCCATTACACCGCACGCCGTGCCTCTCTAGGGCCGGCACTGCACAGTGACATCCCGCAATGTCACTACATATGTGTGCACAGGAACCTCTCGTCAACCGCAGTTTCATGTTATTATTTGTAGACCAAATTACCAACCACGGTCTTGAAATTTGAGTATCCACTGGTAAACACGGTGTTAAGGAAGTCACACGACGTAGATATTACGTCATGCAATTACGTCATTGCATTATAGCGTGGAATTATTATATTGCGTGCCGTCAATGTTACAAATTCCACGGGGCCGTGGTTCTCTGCGGTACAGCGCCACCCATGACGATGCGTAGCTGATCAGCTGCCCGTCTGTTTTGTTGTACATACTTTACTGTAACACTTGTTGCGCCTAGACCGTGTCGCATCCCATCGCAACCACATTCAAGTAAGTTTTGCCCTTAATCAACGAGTGGAGGTGAGAGTGTTGCGTCTGTGGCCCGGAGGAAGAGGGGAATGGTGGGCTAAGCCCCTCCTTCGAACCACCCCTTCTCCCATCATCTCATTGTCATCGTCATCATTAATGTGAAATATATTTAAAGTTAATGTCATTCTTACTTAAATTGTATTATGTTATTGTGTAATGTACTGCATTGTATTAGCTCAATGTAAATTGAAAAGTAAATAAAACAATATTTCAATATCCACACAACAGTAATATTATAAAGCACACTCAGCATGCATTTTGATGAAGTGCCTTGAAACATGGACTTCTGTGAATAGAAATATTTGATAAAAATTGACGTTAAAATTTACTTTAAATAGAAGTCCCATGAAAATGGAATTTGTTTTCAATAATTAATATTAAAATACGCCAGAATGACCCATGCTTTTGCAGTTGGTGATGTCCCTGCAGATTCTTAAAGCACATTCAATGTATGAGATCATAACTTGATGAAGCTTAAAGCATTTTGAGCCTAAAGCCGTTGGTGAGCTTTATTGGTCAGAATATGTCCAATATACTGGTCACGTACAAATATATTTGTAAACATCGCATTATTGTCTGGCGGTGGTAAATTTCTCAAGAATTTGTACGTAAACTACCACATGGCCTCACTCAAAAAACAAATATGGATCACAGATGGTAGTTGTTTATTCATGAATTTACCAAGATGAACAGACTGAAGAGACATTAAAGCTGAATGTTGCACTGCTATAATTCATATGAGATTGCGTCATATTTAAAGTAGTATTTAAAAACCCTTTAAGCTGTTGTCTGGAAATGGCCTTCATAAACACACATGGGTGATAATCCATGCACAATTCTCTTATTCATGGTGATGTGGGGTGAGGATGATGCAGATAATAGTACTTGTTAATTGCACAGAGGCTATGTTTGCTTTTATTGTGGAATGCCTGTGTGCTTAAACTTTCTGATATTTTTTTTAGCAAGTCATGCTCAGGCTATCGGAGAGTCATAAGCAGAACAACATGACTCCATGCATATTTAAGCATAAAGAGGAGATACACAGGATCTGGGCCAGAATATATTCTTCCTGGGTGCTTGTTCTTGAGCTTATCTATAGTCTGCCTGGCTCTGGAATGGTGTGGCTAACTTTAATTTAACAATTTTAAGTTTAAAAGTATTGGCAGCTCGTGGATGTTAATGTCAACATTGTAGCAGTGCTAATCTAATAAAATAATTTATTTTCAAGGCAGAATATGAAAGATGTGCAATTATATTTCCTGTGTAGGAAATAGACATGTTGATTTCACTAAAGAAAACATGGAAACATGCGTATGTACATGTATATATCATGGTTTTGTTTGTGGTTGTGAGTTCCTGTGTAAATCATGTGCTTGAATAATCGGGGTCACAAACATGTTTGATATTAAATGAGGGTTGCAAACGTGCAGAGGTTGAGAAACATGCTCTATTGTTACTGTAAATCTTGATAAACCCCTTAAGTACACAATCGAAATAAATACATTTATTATTAACCCTTGCACACATAGATTTCAATAAAGAAATATTAAAGTTGAAATAAAACTGATATGTAAAACTAAACATGTAACATTTAGAAATCACCGTTAAATGTAAATAACTTAAAACAATATATACACACATACACTGGTGCGGTTCACTATAAAACAAATAAAATTTTCATAGAATATTTATCAACATCAACTCAATACCTCTTACCGTGCATTAAAATACACTTGTACTGTTGTCCTAGAACCATCCTAATACCAGCACCAAACCCATGTTGGTTGATTGTTAAACTGTGACTTGCACCATTGCTTTCACAGCCGTATCATGTTTGGACTATCTTGCATGCAGAGCTTCTTTCAGAGGCCCAAATAGATGGAAGTCTGAGTTAGAGACTAGGTCTGGGTCGTATGCTGGATGATCCATAGTATCCCATCTAAATTTTCCAAATGATTATGTTGCCCCTGCAGTGTGGGCGCATGTAATATTGTGTTCAAACACCTTTTTCAACATTGGACAGCCGTTCTAGTAAATATTGGGGTTTGTTCTCCCAATTTGAAGCACGGGTGTCAGTGTTGATTTTTTTAATAAATAGTATTAACGTTTTCTTCGCCACGCCCATTCCGACGCACGGAGGACAATATTTTTTTTGCTCAAGTTGAGCGAGCAGGTGAGAACCGTGATCATGTTTTACAATTAAATGCCGTAATATTATTTTGGGC